AAGCTATATACATTTATCTGAAGCTTACCCATCCTTGATCACATCATCAGGGCATCAGATTGCATCATAACCCTCTTGGATGGCGTCATCAGGACCCTTTTGTGCTCTAATTCAAAGCTTGCATAATTCAAAGCAGCCTACACGGGAAAGGAGCCCAAATTCTACATGCAAGACTGAATTATGCATGAAGGACATGCATTTCTCATGATCACAAGCTTGCATAAGCAGAGTTACACGTATGCAAACAACTCTATAATTGCACAGCCCCTGCACAGTAACTGTAGCCCTTTCTATTACGTGAGAAATAGGCCACAAAACTCAATTATGCATGTATGATCTCATGTCCTAGGACCTTCCACCCATGCATAGCACTGCACAGCTGCAGCTCCCATCCTTACACGAAATTGTAGAGCTGCTAAGAAGCTCCCTAGTGCCCTGAGGGCCTCTCCTCTTCCCCTGAGCCCCCTGTAGAATATTTAAGGAGCTCAGATTCCTACCTTTTCCCCCCAGGAAATTCTAGTAGCATCAAACCAACACTTGTACCGTGTTTATTAGTGATTCAAACCACCAATAAACTTACAAACCAGCTACCTTAGACCTAAATAGATTTACTTTGCTCAGATTCAAGGCATTTCTACTTATCTCTATTGCATAAGGAATTATCCCCCTGGTTAAACAATTCTGGTCCTTAAGTGTACATACACTTATTCATCTGGATTGTTGTTAAAAGACTTGATCCCAAGTGAGTAGAAGTATTCCTCACATTGGAAGCCTATTAATCCATGCAAGAGGATTGATCCGGATGCCAAATTGAATAATTGGATGAGTCAGCAGTAGAAGTACCATTCCTCACTGACTCCTCCCTGTTTCTTTTGCAGGTTGAGGGATTTAACCACGAATAAACCTTCTCACTTACTCTTCTTGTTAACACTCAGAGCACAACCCTTACAGGTTAGTAGCATAGAGGCTGACACTAGGGGTCATTTAAGGGGCGGATATCCGCGGATATCCGCACGGATACCCGCCTGCGCCAGCGGGTATCCTCTGGCGGATGCGGATGTCTGATTCTGCCGAAAAAGCGAGCGGATATCCGAATCCAAACGGATATCCGGATGCGCCGGGCCCATCTCTACCACAGACTCACCAGTCTTATCACCATGGGGCATGATGGCAAGGTCCTGATTTAAAGCACAAGCAGCAACCACAGGGTCTACATGCACCAATAACACACACATCAGATCGTTGTTGGATGAAAGTGAGTTGCAGTTGACGGTTTTTAAAGGTTGCAGAAGAGTGTGAGAGAGAAATCCTGTCACCATATCGACTTTGATCAAATTTGCTCTGGAAGACAATGTTCTCCCAAATTGTAGCGGATTCCAACCAGGCTGTCTGTGATCCATAAGCCAGCTTACCATCCGGTTTATTGACGAGTACAGAGCCCTTGATACAGTCCAATTCTATCAACATAGAATAGCTTTGGTCATTGAAATGTAGATGATAGAGCACAGGACAAAAGGAAAGAATAGCTAGCACTAGAAAACAAGAAATGACAACTGACCTCCCAAGATAGCAGACAAGAAGCTAGTTTTACCAGACCCAGTAGGGCCTGTGACAATGGTCAGTTTACCTACCAGTAAAGCCAGTGTTACAGGACCCAAGATGAACGTTGCAGTTTTCTTTGCTAAAATAATAGTTAGTGTAGTTAGATGTCCATCTCTTCTACGTGAAAACAAGTTTTACCTGCCTTGGTTATAGAAGAAAATTTAACGAACATTGTTCAAGCATCATCCATTTCCGTTACCGGGCTAGGATCATTCTGTTGAAAGAGCATCAGCATCATCAAATAAATTAGTACATCTCGACGCATAGAGCAATTCAATGGAAGAATGATGTTGAGTAAGAGTGATTCAGTCCAAGAAAGAGCCACTGTTTCATTTGCGTCTCTCGTTGTCCTTGTTGCAAGAGTTTCTGATCTACTTACCTGGAGATGAAAGTTCGAATCGCTGGACAACTTGAGAACCTCGGACAAATAATTCTTTTCCATTCGAGCTTGAGAGTCTGTCTAATCTTTTGAATGCTACTTTCAGTATTGATTGTTTTGAATTGACAGTTCCTTCCATATTTGATTGGCTAGGCAATAAAAAAAAGTTGATCAGATGAATCTGCAACAATTGCCATCTAAAGACTAAACATTGGATGGCCTTGGTCAGCTCTTGTTGCTCTCAAAAAACAAAAAAGAACACACCCTGTCAAGAGTCATTCAAGCTAATGACCAAGTATTGGAATTACAAGTGTGTTTTCCGCGTGGGGGGGGGACTTAATTAGGTCAATACTCAGTCCGACAACAGTGCAAAGCTTGGGACAGAGTTCAATCCGACCGAGATCAGCTTTTACAAGAAGATAGTCAACCACATCATCCTTTCAGCAAACTCCCAATATTGTCTCTCTCGCCACGACTGTTTACGACTCACAACCATCCTGTTGAAGGTACTACATCAACCTTTTCACCCAATCCCGATGAACCTGTATGGGTGAGAGACGTATTACTGAGCTTCAGACGGCTTGAATTTTTTTAGTCATTTCACCTACAGAACTCTCATAGGAGAAGATGCGCCAAAAGGCAAAAGTCGGGCAACTTTGGATGACAAGGATAGCGATCCAGAAAACAAATTGACACAGACGACCATTGAACCCAATGAGAGACAACGCAGTAAACACGCCCGTATCCAATCCACCCAACAGCCTGATGAGCTTGATGATGATGAAGCCTGAGACCCCCGGATATAAAAATTGTTTCCTCACTGGTTGGGCAGTCTGCAGTCCACAATCAAACAAAAGGCCCAACCCCTGCTCTCCCTGCTGTGTCTGAATTATTATTGTCCCTTCTCTTTTCTTGTGTGGGTTTCTCCTCTTACTCATTTGTACACGGCATTTTATTTTCATGTTTCCAGTTTTTCTTTATTGTCAGTTCTTGATCTCATGAGACTAGCAAACCATATTCTTTGCTTTCTTTCTATTGGTTATACAAGGCAATCAAATAGCTTGGATCTGTAACAGGGAATAATAATAAAAAAACAAGCTTGGTCTTGAGCTGTCCTGGCCTGCTGACCGCTAACTGTTAGTGTTTTGCTGTTGAGTATATTAATGGGCCAATCATTGTTTGTGCAAAAGATCAATGATCATGACGCTCAGACCTTTCATTAATCATCTCCCTTGCCAACATTCATTGGCAATTGTATAATCAAAAAAACCCAAAGGAACTTTGAATTTGGTTCCAATCATCAGTCAATCATTTCATCATAAAGGATATTCTAATTATGGTTTTTTTATTCACATTTTAGTAAGAACATTGTACTTTAGATTTCTAACAAACAAGCTGAAATAGGTCTCAGGCATAATCTTTGGTTCACATCAGGAATAGTGATCAATTAGACAACCACTCTCTCTTTGTTCCAACTTTGGGTCTGCCGCTTAACAAACATGCAAGAACTCAGCACTCCTTCCCTTCCTGAAATCACAAACAACGTACAAATCACTCACGAAAAGCGTCCAAAAGCCTAACCCTTAGACAACCGCTTGCTCATTGTTCCACCTTCAGGTCTTCCGCTTAACAAACACGCAAGAACTTGGCACTCCTTCCCTTCCTGAAATCACAAACAAAGTAAGAATTGCTCACAAAGAGCGTCCAAAACCCTAACCCTTAGACAACTGCTCGCTCTTTGTTCCAACTTCAGGTCTGCCGCTTAACAAACACGCAACAACTCAGCACTCCTTCCCTTCCTGAAATCACAAACAAAGTAAGAATTGCTCACGAAGAGCGTCCAAAACCCTAACCCTTAGACAACTGCTTGCTCTTTGTTCCAACTTCAGGTCTGCCGCTTAACAAACACGCGAGAACTTGGCACTCCTTCCCTTCCTGAAATCACAAACAATGTACAAATCACTCACAAAGAGCATCTGAATTGCCACCAATAGGTCTCAGGCATAATATTGGGTTCACATCAGGAATAGCAATCAATTAGACAACCGCTTGCTCTTCATTCCACCTTTGGGTCTGCTGCTTAACAAACACGTGAGAACTCGGCAGTGTCCTAATCTTTCATTCTCCCTCTTGCCCTTTACACTTTCATCTTCTCTTCACTTCTTATCATAAAAGCCCAAAAGAACAAAAACATATTTCCTTAAATTCATTTCTGCATCACACTGTCTTGCTCCTAGGTAATTAACTTAATTTTTCTCACTGCTGTCCATGTAACTAGCGTAAACAAGATTCTAATGAACTAAACTGCTCCTATTTGCTATAATCCTCACAGAGCCTCACAGAATGCCAGCCCAATCTAAGACAGCATCAACATTGGGCACATTTCATGGCTCCTTTGACCCTGGAGTCACTGGACGGTCCGCTGCATTCATGTATCTTGTTTAGTTCCCTTGAGATCAAACACTAAATAAATGTGCATGCCAACTTTATAGACAAACAGGAGAAGCGCCGCCCCTAACAGCCTGAAGGATGTCAAATGGAATGGAATCTTTCTCAGATTATTTTGATTCTCCTCAAGGAGATCCTATTGTCTCATCACCCAGATCATCAAACAAACAATTGAACAATGACCAGATCACGCAACGAACAAGAATAATTTGTCCTGATATGTTTCATGAAATCGGCAAATGAGGAAGGTGGGCCTTGGCCCTACTATACTTCTGGCCTGATTTGTGGACTAATTATACTTATCTCGACCAACTTTCTTGGGTTCTTTGATTGTCAATCAACAAGGAAAACAGGCATCAGTCCACCTAAAAACTCAAGGAGGGATGAGAATGGATTTGAAGAGTACAATAATTATCTGATTAAAGCAACTGAACAAACCAATAAATCAATTGCTAGACAGAGGAGGAAGAGAACACAAACATCTACTGGCTCTGACTCAAAGTCTTACAATGAAGAGCCAATGGAAATACAGGATGATGAAGATAATGTCAATTTGAAAGACTTGGGAGAGATGGTGGCCAACCAATTAGAGGATATTCTCGAGGTTGAAGAGGAGGAAGAACCTTGTGTGACAGCAGCTGGCCCTAACAATCACACAGATTCATCAAATCCCCAGCCCCCTGAACCTCCAAAACCCCAGAAGAAGAACCGTTGTTGTGAGTAATTTATCATCTCTCTATTCATTTCAACATTGATTTTATATTCACTGTGGCCCCTTTGTCAATATTCAGCTCCATCTCCCCAGGGGTTCGTCAGGGGAAACGTCAACACTTTGAACGTCTAGCACATTGGAGAGGTGAAAAGATTGTCTATGGTCGGAGTGTGACACCGGACGGTCACCAAAAAGTACTAGGAGTGGTAGATGTGTTTCGAGTGCCCACCATTGCCAAGCCGCCCCAGTCATTTCGCGCCACAAAACAAAACCAACACAGGATCACAAAGATTAAATCCCAAGGGGTTGCGGCTCAAGAGATCCATGATAACCGCCAGCCAGAGGAAGGCTGGGATTTGAAAACCCTGCCCAACGGGACCCTCTACAGTTTTTCCAAACAAAAAGATATCGAATGTGCCATTGTTTGTACAAAGGAAATGGTCACCCTTGAAATCAAAGGCAAAGCTGGAATACCAAACCTGTTTGAGTCTCAAGAAGTCTTCAAACATTTGGATTTTTTTGCTGGACGATACATGCATATCCCAGTGGGTGGTAATAAACAACGGGAACAATCTAAGAATAATTGTTACGTAAATTGATTTGTTTAACTCCTGACCTCATACTTTTGGTTTGATTTGTATGTCTGATCAATCCATTTTCTTAATTCAAAAAAAGATTTTTAAAGTTGTAGAAGGGGCAGTTTCAGTCTGTGTTCATTGGACCACATTTGTTGCTGGTATTCACAGGATGTTTTGTATTCCTTGAGGTACGTTTTAAACATATTTTCCCATCAACAAGCCTCTAATTGGTGGGGGGGGGAATGAAAATGCTTGGCCTTGGGTGCAAACTGATTATTGTTTTCTCACAATCCTTATTCCAATATGTGTACCGGGACCAAAAACCACAAAATTTAAATTTTTTAGGCAACATCTATTCAATAGAAAACATCAGTGGAAAGACGGCCAAAATGTCATTTGCTCAAGCTACCAGACCCACCACTCCAGGTGCAGAGATAGATTCTGATGACACAGAAAAAGAAAGTTTGATGCTTCAAACCGCTTCCAATGACCCATCCACATCTGCCAGTATACCCCAGAAAGCCGCACATCTTCCCCATCTTGATGAATCCCATACTCATGGTCCCAATAACAAATCAACCAAGGGACAAAAAAATCTTGACAAGAATAAGAAAAAAGTCGCTAATGATAATAGTACCAGTATCAGAACTAACACCAGTAATCTTCCTGGCAAAAAAAAAACCACAGAAATCTTTTGGGATGAAGAAGAAAACTTTGAAACAAAAGCAGAAGTAAAAGGAAAGACCTGGTGCAGAAGAACCTGAGGAAGAACAGCAACATGAAGAATAAGAGAGAGACAAGGACGAAGAAGCACAATCATCATCAAGATCAGCTTGAAGAAACATCCCCAATTTTGCCCTTCTTGTTTCTACCACAACAAATACAATTTTTCTTGGTTCTGGAACATCTTAAATTTTTTTTACTGAGTTCTCCTTGTCTCATCGGACTTGCATATTCATAAAGGGGCTTGGAAAAACGACTCCCAAATTTTAGTCAACGACTCCCGTTTTGGTTGGGAGGTCGCCGGACGGGAGTCGTTCTTCCGACTCCCGGGAGTTCGCGCCTATTCACAGGTGACATCTATTGTTTATGAAATTGGGAGTCCGCGCCTAAAAGGCGGGAGTTGGCCTCCCAAATTTGATCCTTAATTTTTTGATATTTATTGTTCCATGGGAGTCGTCAGGCCAATTCGACAGACGGAAAGGG